AGAGTGAAGCCCTGCTGAAAGATTAAAGAATAGGAAAAAAGTACAAATGAGCAAATCAATTACTGTGTGAAGATTTAGAGGATGTTGTTTAATTCATCATGATCTGTGCTACATTGCGTTTCCTCACAGTTTCTTTTTTTATTGATGTTCCTCTTAGTTCTTTCCTTGACATCTAATTCTACAGGACTGAACAATCCTTTGAAGGTAAGTGTTGTGAACTGGAGGCCTGATCCTGCATCATTTCTGAGAAGATTAACTAGGTTCATTTATACCGACATGGTGAATTCTTAATGATAAGGGCTCAAGTGACGCCAACAGGAGAGAACCATCAAATTAGGAGTTTGGAAATTAAAATACTTTTTCTTTCAAATATCCGATAGTTAGGGGTGCACTCCCAATTGAAAACAAAGTTGCTGATGTGTATTTAACACATACACATTCTATTTAATTAATCTGTTTCTGTCCTTTGAAAGAAATATAAATTTCTACAGAATGTTGATGGACAGAGTGGATCTAAAAGACCTAAGGAGTGGGGAGAATCTGAGTTTCCTGTGCCAGAGTCAGTCCTTTCCATCCCAAAGTGCTTAGGTAGAACTTTGGTATCTTTGATTTGCATCCTGTGCACTTTCTATATTTTGATTTTGCGTTCTTCTATTTCCCATAATTGCTAGAGATAGCACAGTTTTGCTCCAATCAGAGACACTCTCAGTAAATCAGGAGGCTTTGAAGGTAGTGGATCCAAAATACACTCTTGACAGACTCCAAGACTTTACTGCTGATAATTACTGATAGCCATAATATTCCATTGGTTATCCATATTAGCCAATGATAATATATTTTATATAATATAAAGATACAAATGCCTTGAACTCAACTTTTGGTCACCATATAGAAATGTCTATGTAATTTTCTTGGAAACATGTGGAAGTGGTTTGTTATTGTCAATGTCCAGAGTTCTATATAAAAGGAAGGGACAAAGCATCATTTTTATGGCAGGTTTATATTTCATCTTCTTTAGGAGTTTAATGTGGAATATCTGATAGTCCCTCTAGTTCTTTCTCCCAAAACAACAATCTTTGGAGCATGTTGGACTCAGAACAGCAACCAATCATCCAATGACATTTTATGGCTCCCACTAGATCTGGGTTAAGATAAGAAACTCAGCAATTTGTTGAACTGATGATGTTTCAACAGATGTTGTTTAACTGAACTTCCTTGAGGTCCTACGAAAGATAGGTGGTGGTGAGGGAAGATATGAGTTTTAGTACGAAGACATTTTTTTTTCTCTGACAGATAATGATGAAGAAGAAGAATACCAGAGTTGAAAGGGACCTTAGAGGTCTTCTAGTGCAACTCCCTGTTCAGAAAACCCCTTGTTCAGGAAACCTGATGTCCCACTGCTCAGGAAACCTTATACCATTTCAGAGAAATGGTTGTCCAATCTCTTCTTAAAAACTTCCAGTATTGGAGTGTTCACAACTTCTGGAGGCAAGGTTGTTCCACTGATTGATTGGTCTAACTGAGGAAATTTCTCCTTAGTTCTAGGTTGCTTCTGTCCTTGATTAGTTTGCATCTCTTGCTTCTTGTCCTGCCTTCAGGTGCTTTGGAGAATACTTGACTCCCTCTTCTTTGTGGCAACCCTGAGATATCAGAACACTGTTATCATGTCACCCCTAGTCCTTCTTTTCATTACAATAGTCATACCCAATTCCAGCAACCATTCTTTATATGTTTTAGCTACAGTTCTACAATCAACTTTGTTTCTTTTCTCTGCACTCTTTCTAGAGTCTCAACATCTTTTTTTACCTAGATCAAACTGGATGCAGTATTCGAAGATTATTTATTTATTTGTTTTATTTATTCTTTAACTTTTTATGCCTGTCAACTTTTCTAAAGGTTTCTAGAAATCCACACATCTTAAAGTTGCCAAGATTGAAAAACAGTGTTCTAATATATGAAATATTATGGTGTGGTTCTACCCAGATCTCAAAATAGTCTTTTTTAGGGTATTTTAAAATATTTACTGTTTAAATTAATCAGATAAAATACTTATTATACTAATAAGTAGCGTATATATTAATAATAATGATCTTAATAAAAAATAAAATGGAAGAAAAAATAGAAAATTATAAGTTTAATGAATCATACAATAAAAAGATCAAAAATCTTCTTTGTTGCACTTTTCAAAAATAAAAACCAAAAATGTTCAACAATATCCACAGTCTTTTGATTGAACGATCTGGCATTGATTGTTCTATCCAGTTTTATGCCTTAAAAATGCACAGTAGATCTCTTGCTACATTCCAAATGCTATAATGGCTATACTATATACTGTAAGGATACAGCCAAAAACGTTTATACATCATTAATACTTTAGAGTATTAATTTAGAGACATTAATCTCTATCACGCTATCTTTCAAATTGTAATAAATTGCATATTTGTAAAATCCAGATTGCATATTTGTAAAAGACCCAAATTGTATATTAAGGAAGCTAACAAGATTATTAAGCATGCCTCAATAATATTTTACTTAGATTTTCATGCATGAAACTCAATTTTAAAATATGGAAGATTTGTGATAAGTATGTGCACAAAGTAATACACATAGGGGACACTATTTTAGATACTTTCATGATGTGATAAATATAGCCTACAGATCTGAGAACTTGGATTAAAAAAATAAATAGGTTTCCTCGTAGCAGATTAAATTTTATTTAAAAAATAATGTAACAACTGCAAATATACTGTATATTTAAAATGATGCACAAGGGCACAACTTCATAGAAAATATAGGACATGATATCACCCAAATATGATCTATAGTTTACTTGATCAAAGAGCTTTTGAGAAAAATAATTAAAAAGTAAAACTGTATGCAATGAAATTCAAAAGAGAAGATTGGAGACTGGCAGAAAGCATCTAGCTCAGCTTCAAAGTCCTTCCGAGTGCATATAATCAATGTTTGTCAATAGTAATTTTACTCCCTTTAATTTATCTTTTGTGGATATAAAGCATGTTGATATTAGTTACACTCCAACCTTCAGTCTGATTTTTGATGAATCAGGGGTGTATTAAAATTCAGGGCATCTCATTTTAGTCAAGGACAGATCATATAAAACTGTGTTTATTACAGTCCTTTCATCCTTCTGATTCTCTAACTTGATAAAACTTATTTATAGAAACTTTTTATGGAACTGAGAAACAGTGAAAAGGCAGTATGGTATATATGTGGTATATGTTGCTATCACCATATCAGTATGAAAGTCCATATTCGTTCTAGTTGTAAATTATTTTCTATATAATGATATCAAAGGAAATTCAGTAGATTTCTGTATTAAAGCTTAAATAATACTTCCATACATTGAGTCATGGCAACTGGACATCTTTTTTTTGGCGGGGGAGAGGATGAAACTTTTTGCTGCTTATTCAAATAGGTCCTTTAGTCTGAGTAAGTTGTTTAAGAGTACCCTATATTTATTCTCCAGAATGGTTTCATTTCTTACCTAATCTAAATAGAGATTATTAGGGAGGGAGGCAGAGACTTGTTAAGATGTGTTGCTCCTAAATATTTTCTCCTTGGATGGTTGTTAAGAGTGGTCTCCTTCATGAACCTCTGATGTGGTCTTGATCCTCTTGGGGACTTACGTCCTGGACAATCCTCCATTTTATTGTGTTGTTATTCAACTTGGGCCTTGATTAAATCAGCATCTGGATCCAACAAAAGAATGTCAGACAAAGTTGAGACTCAAAGTCAACCAAAGAACCTATAATTTCTTACATGACTGATGTATCAAAGAAGCTAAAATTGATACTTGGAAAAGACAACATATCTCTATTCTTCAAACCCACCAACAGACTGACACAGAGGTTCATCTACCCTAAAGATCAGACACCAAAAAATCAGAAGAATAATGTAATGCATGCAATTCCCCTGCAGTGAGGAGTGTTCACAGCTCTGCATTGGGGAAACCAAGCAGCCTTTAATACAAGAGAATGGTCCACCACAGAAGAAGCAACATCACAGGACCAGCAGTACACCTTTATTTAAAAGAAAAAAGGACACTGTTCATATTTTGGATAGGGAAAAATAAATGATTTGAAAGAGTAGAGGAACCCATTTATGCCAAAATGGAAATCCTTCCCTAAATAGCAGTGGAGGCTTCAGACACAACCTGTCTCCTTTTTTTCATGCTGCTTTTGCATCAAACCCAAGGAAGATCAGTACTGCTTCACAGATTCATCAGGGAGGTCACACTTAACAAACCAACCAAGAGAAAAGATTTAGCCACAACTTAATGTCTCTTTGCCCCTATTCACATAAAGAATTTATTCAGATCAGGTGAAATCTAATCTTAGTGAAACTACCCTAGTGGACATTTATAAGGTTCCCCTAATTAACTTCAGACTGAAGAAGCTACTTAGATAAGCAACCAAATATTTCAAACCAAAAAGAAAATAAGTCCAGTTGAAATGACTCAACTTCCAGACAACACTACCTGGATGGTTGAGAATCTTCATCAACATATTATTCCATAATGAATTGTGCAATTGTACCACCATAAAGTTGTTCATAGTATGAAAGCAACCGAAGAACAAATATCTGCCATTGGAATTGGTGGGATTTGTTTAGTATTCGTCATTCTTCGGTAACTATGTTGAATGTGTAAAGAAAAGGGCAGGATATACAAGTCTCAAAATAACAAACCATCTAATTTAAACTGCACCTAATCATAAATATAATGATTAACCAATGAACAGCATTGATGCAAATATATCTCGCATTTTAGAAGCCAGTTTATTAAAAGTGATGTCACAAATAAAATAGATAAGTATGGCAACTTTTTCCCTTAGCATAGGCCTCAGAAAAGACTTCTTAGAGGAAAACTTTCCATGCCATTTGTACTTGCTAGTTCAGTGTGATCAAATTTGAAAGTGTGGTTAATGATTTGCAAAACCTGTTATTTAAAAATAGAAACAAGAAAAAGCATATTCACACAAGGAGAAAATCTGTTTAAAATAAGAATGTTTAATTGGTTTGTCTATTTGCCACTTCTCTCTCTGATTGTCTTTCTTGGAAATACTCCTGTTTCAGTAAGTATATTTATTTTAATGTCTTAATTAAAAGAGATTGATGAATTAATGTCAATGCCCATATCATACAACACTATGTTCTACTACTATATTGGCAATCCAGTAGCATTGGCAAAGCTAGGTATTCAGGAATCAGTTATCAGGAAAAATATGTAGCCTAGATCTTTAAATATTTCAGATTTATTAATGTTTTATTGAAAATAAATGTCAGTTAATCTAAAGGGGGAATGAAAAACAATCCTTGGAAAAGATTGGCATTCTATCAAATAAAATCAATAATCAAATATTGAGCATTCCTTTTATATAATCCTTCCATTCCATATTTCTTTTATTCTTCAGAAAACAGATGCAAATGTTTATTTTATTAATCAATTTCTTAAAAGCAAACATTGGTTAGCATTTAAGTAACAGGTTGATATTTTTAAATTTTTCCAGAACATTGTAGAATATTGTGAGCAACATAATTCTAACAGGGTGTATCCATCATTCATGGAAAAAATGTTTTTAAAAAAAGTACATCAATAAAAATAAATAGAATATATAGAAAAACTATTTTCTTAAGCATTAATGAAATGCAAAAACAGGAACATTTTTAATAAACACTTTTTTTTTGTTATAATTGAACTGATCAAACTTTCTTAAAATAAATCCTGGAAGAAAGAATAGCAAGTGTTCTGTGAGCTGATCATATTATTTGCCTCTAATGTTTCACTCCAAAATGAATTGCCAATTCAAATATTCAGATTTTAATAAAACTGTGGTTTGTATGCATGTTTGTGCATTTGTACTCTGTACTTGAGAGGTCAAATGTTATTATACTTACTTTCCTGAATACACCGTACTACCCATGTTTAGGAGAGTAAATATAACAACCTTTTAGTCACCTCTTTGTTTTATATAATGGTTGGAATAGATTACAACTGCAGACACCAGTCCATTAATCAATACTCTTAAAATAATTTATCAAAGATACAAAAGGAAGAAAAAAAGTAACCCAACCACATATATTTTAGTATATATTCCTTACATTGATTATTATGTAACTATTAACTAAAAAGGGAAAATTATAGGACACCATTATTTTTCTTCAATCAAATATAGCAGTTCTCTTCCAGATTTTGCAACCATCTTTGTTCTGTTCAGTTAATGATTAGATGAAAGGAAATGAAGTTATAATTTTTGGCCCTACCTGGAAAAGTCTCTAAAATGGAACCTGTAAGTTGCAAACAGAAGTCTGTAATAAAAAGAACATGGCAACACTTAAACATTGTCACTTCCTCCCTTGAGCCATGCCTTATACATTCTGCAAATTCAAGTAGCAATTAGTTCCCAGGGGAGACAACTGAAAATTTCCACCTCACAGGGGTTTGGATTTCTTTTGTAAAACTAAAATAAGGGGAGACACTTGTTTTATGTGCATATGTACTGCCATGAACTCCCAAGAGGACAGAAATATACAGTAGCCATAAATAATATAATACAATATAATTATACAGATTCCATGATGGCCACTACTTACTTATATGGAAATCATACCCACACTCTTTTTTTCTACCGGTATCTGGAGGTCCACAAGACTGTAAATGAATTCCTCATTTTGTATTGCAGTTCTTCAAAGTGTGTACAAAATGTATGCGTTGAGGGAAATACTGTATGTTATGGAGCATCATAATGAAAAGATATTTATTGGAAAAATTGAACATGTATGTACAATATATGTATAATGTAATGTATAATATATGCATGAACTATGTACTGCTAATGGTCTGTTTTTCAAATGTACAAAACTACACAAAATATATTGTGTATAAATTTGTGACAAACATGTTTTTATTGGCACTTCTTTAAAAAAATGAACAGATGCAAAAATAGGAGAGAATGAACCTGTGCTAGAAATGATAGTGAGTGAAATAAAACATGTACTTTTTATGTTGGGACAATGCATACATTTGACATTAGGTATTTAATGTAAATTCAGAAGCTTCCTCTAATAAAGGTTACATCACAGATATGTGACTCTAAATAACTAAAAATGAGGCACCAATGAGATAAATTAGGAAGAACATGTAGCTGTATCCTAAGCTTCACCCAATTTTAATAAGAAGTAGGACCTGAATCAAAGACATATCTTTGAGTGGAACTACATACTAATTGGATATAGACACAGATTAAATAATATATTAAAGTTAAAAATATTATTTTTTTAATTTTTTTTTAAAAAACTTGCATGAGATTCAAGTATCTGTTGTGTACATATTTGATTGTGTTGCACTGTAACTTTCAGTCTCCAGAGAGAAGAAGCAAGTTGCCAATTCAGCATTATTCATTGATCAAGGGAACCCCATATGCTCTATTTTACAGGGCAGGCAAGGGTGTGCCTGAAGCTACAGGATTGCAAAATGTCTTAGCTAGATGCATTACCAAATGTTGAACTGATCTCTTATAGAGGGGAAATTCCTTTCTGACCCCTGAAGGCATTCAGCATATGCCCTGAAGCGTGAGAGTTCTCTTACAGCTAAGTGTCTTCTTAATGGGTTTCCATAAGCTTTAACTTGAGCTATGTAGCCTGCGTTCTCAGCACAGATAGCAAAATGTTTGATAATGCAAAAATCTTGTGTCAGATTCATAGGAAGGTCTGCCTTGTGAAACTGACTGAATAGGCTTTGTTGTTCCTGTCTCGAAATCTATCGAGATCTATTCTTAAGAAGAAACCAAGTGTGTGTGTTCTCACTATCACATGAGATAAATGGAGAACTTCAGAATGTTGCATGAGACAGAATTTCAGATTTACCAGTGATACGACTTATAGGAATATTGAACTCATTTCACTTTGGCTCAAACGTCTATAGCCTTTTTAAAAATTTAATTCTCTTCTTCCTATGGGGGTGGGGGGGGGATTCACTAAACCTTAAACTTGTAGCACGTCAGAAGAAAGAGAATGCTTGAAATTCTAGAAGATTGAAATTAAAAATGGCAAACAAAGAGCTTTATGGCTTCATAACCAGAATTGGTGTCACTATGCAGCCAGGCAAAGCAAACTTCTTCGGAAAAGCATCAAGCAAAAAAAAAAAATGTGTATCTAAGCAGGTAGAAAACTGTGCAGAAAAGATGGGGAAGCATCATTTAAATTTCCAATTCCAAATTGGAAATTAATCTCTTCTTGATCTGTCAGTAGGGTTAGGAGTGATTGTTAAGAAACTGTGGTCATGTTATGTGGCTCCTTGCCTTTAGATCAGTATTTCCATAACCCAGTGGTTTTCACATGTACTGAACTTTCACTCCTGGATATATTTTTTCCAGAGATGTCTATAAATCCTTAGATCTCTTAAATCAACAATTCAAGAGAAGTCACAATTTTCTCCTGCTATTTCCACTCTCTTATAAATCTTCTTGCTATGGGGTGTAGCAGGATCTCTGATCAACTACAGCAAGGAGAGAAAAGGGGGCTGGGGAGAATACTGATTGAAGAAACTGCATCTGCCTTATCTTCTGCTTCATCTGGAGGCTTAAGAATTAAGCTATTTACCAGTATGCTGCTCAGGTCTGAATCCAGCAATTCTAGGCTTGGGAAATCTTACAAATATGCCTCTAATATGAGAATGAATCTATTTAAAAATATATAGATCTGTGATGCAATTATTACTATGTAGAGTTGCTATTTTAATTCACTGGTGCTATAAACAACAGTGTGAAATCAAAAGATCAACAGATAAATTATTTAATATAGTCTCCTCTAATTGTTTCATTTTCAAGTATTTTCTGACAACCCAAATTTATGTACATAAAGTTATTAATGCATTTATTTGCATGTGTAATAAATACAAATGAACAAATATGGGTTATTTCTAAGAAAAATATTAAGTATAAGATGCCACTCAAGTTGTTTTCTGTCTTCCAATATTTTAGGTTTTTTTCAATGTTTTGCTAACAATAAGAATAAAGTTATTCGCTTGTTTTCCTGTTTTGGTATGGTAGAGGTAGACACCACAAACAATATTTTATTTCTGTGGTATACTTTTGTTAGAACAAAAGTAGATATAATTTCCAAACAGCCAAACTAGCATAATTATATATAATTGCACGTCAGTAAAAATTGGGTAGTAAAAAGCGGACATGCATGGGCCAATTTCTGCACTGCAAAGTTTTCATTGTAAGTGTTCCAGAGAATTAATCTTGCAAAACAACGCAATTTCACCTAAAAGAATAGTGCTCTATTTTGAAACTACAAGTTTGACTGGTGTGCTACAGATTTTCAATTGGAAATCATAACCTAAATCAACACATTAGCTCATTCAGTAACAAGGTCTCTAAGATGTTGCTGGTTTTGGCACAACAGTGTTCTGTGGCTGTCCTGTAAAAAATAATAGCATTTGTTATCATATTATTAATCACTCTTGTTAATACCTTCAGTGTATTGTCTTGGGCTTATCATGAATAATCAAGAATGCTTGGGAGGACAGTAGAAAGCATTCAAAAAAGATAGTTACTAAAGTATGCTAGTGCAAGTGAATCATTTTTCCTCAAAGCATTAAAACAGACACATCCTTTAGAAAGTTGATGCTACAACTTTGAAGACTGTCTCTCGTTATCTATGTATGCACACAATTGCTCAATGCTTAGTTACATTGGCACTCACAGAAGAAATATGTTCTGTCCACGCATGGGCACATCCATTCATATACATAAATACACACATAGAGAACATGAGAGCATACACCTGCTAACATATTTTGTAATTCAGTGCTTTCAAATGCTTTGCATAGCTCTACTGTTAGACCAAGAACTCAGCATACTTTTGAAATTTTCCAGCAATTTGTAGCCTGAACATTAGTTGTTTTAATTTTTTCCTGGATTTCCCAAACATTCTCCAATGATTTTTCAAGAATAGGACTTATCCCTGAAAAGATACATCTAATTTCCTTATAATATTTTCTTTGGATAATTGAAGTGTGGGGGAAAAAATTTCAGGGAAGCTGTGGTAGCTCTGAAGATAGCTCCAT